CACACACACATACAATTTTACTTCTACTGATTTTGTACGTATACTTGTAAATTGCCAAAACTGGTCACATGGGTCTGCCAGGGAGTGGGGAGACAGAATCAAAAGGAACATGGAGAGACTCAACATGAAACAAGACAATACCTTTTCGGTTGGCTTGGTCTTTGAATTCTGACTTGGTGTCCCATCTGAGGCGGATTCAGATGAGCTTGCAACTGTAGTAGCTTTGTCCTATAAACAGCAGAGACATATGATCAAGTAAATTTCTGTACCAGCAATCGTAAGAGATAGCGAAAACCAGTGTTTGTGTACCTAGTCCCAGCATAACACAAATCCACTGGAACATGCTGCAGCTAATATGGCCTAGTCTACACCAGACGGCCGTGGCTGCAAACACAGTTCTCCTTCTATTTTGGTTAGAGGCCAGAAAAATGCAACCGACCTCTACAACTACAAACACACACACACACACACACACACACACACACACACACATGCACATACACACACACACACACACACACACACACACACACCTTGAAACCTTGAAACTGCCACCTAAAGGTGATGCAGTGCCTCAAAGAGGCAAGGAGGGCAGAGTTACTTCTTGCATTTGTGTTGAGCCAGGTACTGGAGACGTGTGAACTTCCGAGAGCAGGTCGGGCATGGGATGGTGCGGCGCTCGGAGCCAGAGCTGCATGTTCTGCGGTTGGAGTTGCAGTTGTGCCGGCGGTGCCCAGCTTTGCTCCGGAAACAGCGGTCACAGGTGTGGCAGTGGTAATGACATTGGCTGCAATCAGGTGGGCGAGGTGCAACAATCTCTGGAACTGGAGCGTCACCAAGACTGGGAGAGCAGCTGTGCACAGCAAATCCACCTCGGCTAGCAAACCAACGATGGCACGTTTCGCACAACACAGCACCGGCCTGTTCATGGATCGGCTTCAGTCGCTCTTCCCTGCATTTGTGCCGCCGAAGTCCGCTTTCACTGGCGAAGAGTCACTCACAGATCGCACAACACACTGACTTGGCTGTCGTTTCAAGGCGTAAGCGCCGTGCAACAATAGCATCCAAGATGGACTGGATCCACTCGCCACGTTCAGCTGCGAGGTCGTACCAACCGGTGTATAGACCGAACACCTTGAGGTCATCGCGTACCACATCATGCCATCGACGCCTGGGGCCATGAGCAGGGCGTGGAGTATGGAGCCACGAGAACAACACTGCCTTTGGAAGCCGGTGGCCGTCCATCCTGGCAATGTGGCCAAGCCACTGCAGCCGTCGACGGGCAACCATGTCAGCAACTGGCTCTGTAGCGCACATTCTATGCAGCGAGGCAGATGACAGGTGGTCCTCCCACTGTTTGGAACGCGAGATGCCGAGAATGACACGAACGCAGCGGTTGTGGAATTGTTCAAGGCGACGTATGTCGGCACGCAACAGTGTCCAGTTCTCAGCCCCGTACAACAGCACCGACAACACACAGCATGTGTACGTGTGTTGTTTCGTCTTGGATGTTAGTGAAGTGTTCCGAAAAACTGACGAGTAGAGGCTGCCAAAGGCCTTAGATGCAGCAGCTATGCGGTTGGACACATCGGTGTGGCATCGTCCGTCTGGTGTTACCACTGAGCCGAGATATGTGAACTGGCTGACATGCTGGATGGCGTTGCCTTGTACGCTTAGCGGGGTACGGTCACTGTCATTGATCTGATGCCCAACAGCCATGAACACTGTCTTTGCCATGTTGAGAGACAGCCCGAATGCTCCACTGACCTCCGCAAATATCTCAAGCATACGCTGAGCATCCGAGTGGCTGGGTGCAAACAAGGCTGCATCATCAGCAAACTCACCACCTGTGATGACCATATCATTACCACGCTTAGATCTCTTGAAAAGCTGACCATCGGCACAGGTACGGAGTGGAAAGCCAGACACTCCACGCTCTTGGACGCGTGCGCACCAACGTTCCATCACTGCACCAGCAAACAAGTTGAAAAGGACTGGTGCCATTGTACACCCTTGGCGCAATCCGTTGCACACTGGGAAGCCTTCAGTGGGGGAACCATTAACGATGATCGTGGCTGTCATGTTGTCGTGAAAAGACTTCAGAAGGCTGACCAGTTGCTCCGGGACTCCCAGCTTCAGCAGGACAATCCACAGTGCAGCACGCGGAACAGAATCGTATGCCTTCCTCAAATCGACAAACACCAGGAATCCCTTGGATTGGTGCTCGTGACACTTCTCCACAACCTGGCGAACAACAAACGTCATGTCCGTGCAGGAGCGACCTTTCCGGAAACCACACTGTGATTCAGGCAGCACACTTTCGGCGACTTTCTGCAATCGGTTTTGCAGCAGGCGTCCGAACAGCTTGCCAATGACGTCGAGGAGTGCGATGCCACGCCAGTTGTCGCAGCTAGTGAGGTCACCCTTCTTGGGTATCGGTATTATCTCAGCATTCACCCAATCTTGCGGTACTACGCCCTCCTCCCAAACCACGGTAATGAGCTTAAACAGATTGGCATAGAATAGGTCGCAGTTGTATTTGACCATTTCCGGTAGAATGCCGGAGCTTCCAGCAGCTTTCCCGTTCGTAAGATAGCGAAGGCAGCGCTGGGCCTCTTCAGCAGTGGGTGGGGTGGCCAGGTGTTCCATGATGTTGCGCTGCTGGACCAAGTCAATTTCAGATCGGACAAAGCCGCTTGGAAGGTTCAGCAGCTTTTCGAAATGTTCAGACCAGCGGTTCTGCTGTGCCTCAACGGACGAGCATGGTGAGCCATCAGTCTGTTTGATCAGGCACGACTTAGTGGGAATCAATCCGCGCCGGGCAGTCTGTAGATCCTGGATGCTGTTCCACACAGCCTTACACCCAAACTTCCTAGATTCGGCATCAGACGCAGTCTTACGGAACCAGTCCTCCTTAGCACTGCGTACAGCATCCCTTGCAGCTGAGCGCGCGCGCGCGGACAAACTCTCGCCGGACCAGAGGTGATGGATCTGCTAAAGATTTCTGGAATAGAGTGTTACGATGTGCAAGGAGAGGCTCGAGAGTGGCAGAACTGGCTGAGAACCAATCTGGCTGACGACGGCGACTCTTGCCTAGGACAGAGGTAGCTGCTTTAACTGTGGCGTCCCGCAGTGAACTCCATTGATCCTGAACTGAGGTCCCTGGTGCAGCGTCTTGCAGACAGTCGGATGAGGTATGGTACCACTCCGCCACAGTTGCTTGCCTTACTAAATCATCATCCTCTGATGCAGTTGGGTCAGCAGGTCCGAGCTGGGATACATCAAAGCAACGGCGATCAGGGGCCTTGCTCTTTGGCGGGTAGAAACGGCGGCGGCAACCAAGTGACAACGTTAACCCGACAAGTTTGTGATAGGTCCCACACTCAGCAGACCGGTACACACGACAATCTGTACAGCGCTGAAAATCCCGCTGCCGGGTGATCACATAATCAATACAGTGCCAGTGCTGTGAACGTGGGTGCTGCCAGGTAACTTTATGAATGCCTTTTTCTTGAAGTACGTATTACAGAGTCGAGAGTTGAACATGGAAAGAAAGCTCAACAGCTCCTCACCAGCTTCATTCATGGTACCAACGCCATAAGGACCACGCACTTGCCTCCATGCGTCTGTTGTATTATGATGTAATGCATTACGTAGCCATGCAAGAGCATGCGCGAGATACGCATCTCGCAGCTGCCTACTTTCATGCAGCATCCTTTAGATGTCGTGGTTCTTATGATTTGCCTACAATGGCCAAGTGAGAATATAATCCTATCGTAAACAACTAACTTGTTTACCCCGAAACATGGTGTAAGAAGTAAACTAAATAAACGCCCTAGAATTGTCGCAGTAGCGCCACCGGTGCAAGAGGTAAAATGGCAGAAGTAGCCGGATTTACCCCGCCGTCGATGGATTGGCAAGCCGCAGATTTACCTGATGAATTCGAGCGGTTCCAACAATACTGCTTTCTAGTTTTCCAAGGGCCCTTTTCCGACAAGTCCGACAAGGAAAAGGTCGCCTATGTCATGCTATGGATCGGGAGAACTGGTGTTGATGCTTTCAATAGTTTCGAGTGGGATAATGCAAGCGACAAATCCAAAGTAGCTGCCGTCTTCAAGAAATTTAATAAGCATTTGCAGCCACGGGTAAATGCACGACTGGCTCGGTTTGAGCTTCAGAAATACCGCCAGCAACCCGACGAGTCTGTAGATGATTTCTTTGCGAGGTGTAAGAAGAAGACGTCCAAGTGCAAGTTCAGGGACGCTCAGGAGACTAACGATCGCCTGATAGAACAGCTAATCGTGGGGACGAAGCACTCGAAAGTGCAAGAACGCCTGCTGGAGGGTGGTAGTGATTTGACTCTGGACGAAGCGCTTGACAAGGCCCGTACTTATGAAGCAACACAGCGCCACATGGAGCAGCTGTCCACCGCCACCAGCAGCAGCCGTCTACCTGAAACGGTTCACGCCATTTCCAAATCTGTGGGACACGCAGACTGCGGCAAATGTGGACGAACCCACCACCCAAGCAAGTGCCCAGCGCACGGCTCCACCTGCAACAAATGCGGGAAGGCGAATCACTGGGCAAACGTATGCCGTTCGCAGGGGAGAGACGAGGCACATGGAAGGGGCCAGCAACGCGGACGCAAGGATATCGAAGCAACTGTCTCATCTTGCACGACGTGCCAGCGCCACCAGAGCAGTCAAGCCAAGGAACCACTGATGCAGCCCGATATTCCGCCAAGGGCATGGCACACCTTAGGCACGGACCTGTGCTACCTCGGCGGGTCAGAATACCTCATTGCCGCCGACTACTACTCCAAGTACTTTATCACCCGGAAGCTGCCTGCCGGACAAGCGACCAGCAGGGCCATCATCCAGCACCTCAAGGAGATTTTCGGTGAGCACGGCATCCCAGCCGTGCTGAAGTAGGACAACGGGCCGCAATACAGCAGCCATCTGTTCGCGGAGTTTGCTGCCGAATATGGATTCCGCCACAGTATGTCGTCGCCACATCACCCGCAGAGTAACGGGTTTATCGAATCGCAAGTCAAGATCGCTAAGAGAGCTCTCGAGAAGGCAAGGGAGAGCGGGACCGACCCGCACTTAGCACTGCTGTGCATTCGCGCCACCCCAGTGTGCCAGGGCTTACCGTCGCCGGCCGAGATGCTGTTCGGTCGTCAGGTACAGGACAACCTGCCTCGCAAACACCAGCGCGACACTCGGGACGAGGCCATCCGACAGAAGCTCGAGGAACGGCAGGACCAGCAGAAAGTACACCATGACCAGCGAGCGCAGTCTCTCCGCCCCCTAGTTCCTGGTCAGCACGTCGGCATCCGCAGCCCGACCACGCACCTGTGGGAACCTGGTATCGTAACCCAGTCTGTCAACGGGCCACGGTCATACATGGTGCAGCCTGACCATGGGACAGAAGTGCGGCGCAACCGTACCCACCTCAGAGAGAGGCGGGTCCACTTCCCGCCGGATGCCAGTCTCGCAGGCCCTCAGCCGCCGAGTGACGTGCCGTCGCCGTGGAGCGACGTTAGTCAGTCTCAGCCGCCGTCACCGTGTGACGTCAGCCAGCCTGCTGAACCTGCCACCCAGCTGTATCGAACACGGTCTGGCCGCGCAGTCGCACCCAGGTCAATCCTGGATGTGTAGGGCCAGAGAGGCCTCATGGACCTGTTCGCTTATGTCACAGTAGCTGAGGTGCCATTGTTATATTGTACATAGAGCTATTGTTGGATACTATGTCTCTGTATTGTTAGCACGCCGTCGTGTGCCATTCACGATTGTTACCTTGTACATAGAGCTATTGTTGGATGTTATGTTCTATATTGTGAACACGCCGTCATATACGTACGGTATGTTATGTAGGTTGTTAAACTCCTTTATGACGAAGGGGATGTTGTATTATGATGTAATGCATTACGTAGCCATGCAAGAGCATGCGCGAGATACGCATCTCGCAGCTGCCTACTTTCATGCAGCATCCTTTAGATGTCGTGGTTCTTATGATTTGCCTACAATGGCCAAGTGAGAATATAATCCTATCGTAAACAACTAACTTGTTTACCCCGAAACAGCGCCCTCTTCATGACCTGGGCTGCTGCCAACACGGGCGTTGAAGTCACCAAGTACGACGTACAAATCGCGCTCCGGGATGGATAACAGACAATCACGAAGTTCGCCATAAAATTTCTCCTTCTCATGGCGAGGCCTCGCGAACGTTGGAGCGTAGCAGGAAATGACATGCAGCCACTGATCGCCAAACAACAGTTTCGCCACAACAACTCGCGAGCTGACAGCTCGCCACTGGCACCCGCCGTTTTTCCACGCTCGTTGGGCCAAACCTAAAAGAACGATTGCAACTCCCTCGCCGCGATATGCGGGCATTCCTCGCTCTGTTGGGACGGGGCGTCCTGCATTTAGAACAGACGCTCCACTGATCAAATACTCGTGATCGCCGAACCATTTCGTCTCCTGAAGACCTGCGACTGAGAAATTCAAATTTTGAATTTGGTGAAGAACAATTTGAATTTTTTTGTCTTCCGCTACGGGCAAGCTTCTTTCGTGACGAGCTGTCTCGATGCTTCCATCATTCTCCACTAAGCTGTTGACGTTCCAGGTACAAAACTTCAACACAAACGCTTCGTTTCTCCGTCTCCTACTTCGTGCAAGGGGGTCTACCTGGAGGTTTGCAAAACCGTCGCAGGTGTTGTGGGTACGTGGCGGGTTCCAAGTGGCAACATCAGGCGTTGCCCCGTCATTGCTTCCCAGGTCTCCACGCACCATACTCACAACCTAGCCAGGGGTGGCCCTAGGCCACCCCTGGGGATATTATAGCTAAGCAAACTTGTGAACAAGCAGAGCTCAAAAAAGTGCTTCCTACTCCAACTACTACACACACACACACACACACACACACACACACACACACATGCACACATACACACACATTAATAAGAACACACATTGCTTGGGTGGATGGTGCGCCGCCGGCGAAATTGAATTGCATTTGCCCGGGGGGGGGGGCAAGTAATAGCAGGGTTGGCAAGAGCCAAGAGCCCACTGATGCATTCAATGGAGAAATGGAGAGCCGCCGGGCACCGTTTATTGGGGTTTACTTTATAAAAGTAAGCATGTGAGGATAAATATGGGAGTGGGAGGGTGGGAACGAGAAACAAATAAACTGACAACCAGTCACCACCATGAAAAATTCTTGAGAAGAGATTGTCAGCAAGGGAGCAAGAAAAATGAGTCGCCATTTTTGCGTCATGGTAACCGGACATCAGTATGGTTCCTGACGTCATGGGCACGTTGTGTGCGCTGGGGTAATTGTGAGTGGCAACACTGACATTTGTGCGGCGCCATGCCTGCGTAAGGACACAGGGCAGCAGAGACAGTTGTGCGGCACCATGCGCCCGCAAGGACATGGGGCGGCAGAGGTAGGTGTGCGGCCCCACGCGCCTGCGAGGACAAAGGGCGGCGGAGACAGTTGTACGGCACCATGCGCATGTAAGGGCATGGGGCAGCAGGGGCAGTTGTGCGGCACCATGTGCATTCGAGGACATGGGGCAGCATGTACCCGCAGCGGTGAGCTGCAATAATGCTAGCTGTTAATGAGCATAAACGCTGCGCTTTAATGCAACAAACACACACAATTTTACTTCTACTTATCTTGTCCGGATACTCGTAAGCAGAAAAAAAACTAGTCTCATGGGTCTCCCAGGGAGTGGGGAGACAGAATCAAAAGGAACATGGAGAGACTCAACATGAAACAAGACAATACCTTTTCGGTTGGCTTGGTCTTTGAAATCGGCCTTGGTGTCCCACCCGAGGCGGATTCAGATGAGCTTGCAACTGTAGTACCTTTGGCCTATACACAGCAGAGACATTTGATGAAGTAAATTTCTGCGCCGTCCCATTCGTAAGAAATAGCGAAAACCAGTGTTTGGGTACCAACAGTGCTGGTAACTGAAATACGACCCCCTGAGCGGTGCGCTTACATCGCAAAGATACAACACGGGATGGTAAAGCTACGAAACAGAGACCGCTAAAATGTGAACCCACCGCTCAGGGGGTCGGATTTCAGTTGCCAGCACTGTAGTTCCAGCATAACACAAATCCACTGGGACATGCTGCAGCCAATATGGCCTAGTCTACACTAGACGGCCGTGGCTGCAAACATAGTTATCCTTCTATTTTGGTCAGAGCCCAGAAAAGGGCAACCGACCTCTACAAATACAAACAAACACACATGGACCAGCCCGCCTACTGAAAGAGGCAACCAGTTCACTTGCGTCGTCCCTAGTAACCCTTTTTAACATCTCCGTCGAACGTTGCACTATTCCGCAAGAGTGGAGGGACGCAACAGTCACCCCCATCCACAAGATGGGCAGCAAAACCGAGCCCTCCAACTAACGACCGATATCGCTGCTCAGCGTGACGTCGATAGTGCAAGAGAGGATAGTTGCTGACCGGATCTCCAAACACATCCAACCTCACCTCAACAACGGCCAATCCCCATGCCTGCAATTCCTTTTCTCTTATTGGCCACAGGCCATCGTGAGAATAATAGATTTCAAACACACACACACACACACACACACACACACACACACACATACACACACACACACACACACACACACACACATACACACACACACACACACACACACACACACACACACACACACACACACAAACACAATTTTACTTCTACTGATGTTGTACGTATACTTGTAAACTGAAAAAACTGGTCACATGGGTCTCCCAGGGAGTGGGGAGACAGAATCAAAAGGAACATGGAGAGACTCAACATGAAACAAGACAATACCTTTTCGGTTGGCTTGGTCTTTGAATTCTGACTTGGTTTCCCATCTGAGGCGGATTCAGATGAGCTTGCAACTGTAGTAGCTTTGTCCTATAAACAGCAGAGACATATGATCAAGTAAATTTCTGTACCAGCAATCGTAAGAGATAGCGAAAACCAGTGTTTGTGTACCTAGTCCCAGGATAACACAAATCCACTGGAACATGCTGCAGCTAATATGGCCTAGTCTACACCAGACGGCCGTGGCTGCAAACACAGTTATCCTTCTATTTTGGTTAGAGGCCAGAAAAGTGCAACCGACCTCTATAACTACAAACACACACAAACACACAAACAGACACACACACACACACACACACACACACACACACACACACACACACACACACACACACACACACATGCACACACACACACACACATTAACAAGAACACACATTGCTTGGGTGGATGGTGCGCGGCCGGCGAAATTGAATTGCATTTGCCCGGGGGGGGGGGGGGGGGCAAGTAATAGCAGGGTTGGCAAGAGCCAAGAGCCCACTGATGCATTCAATGGAGAAATGGAGAGCCGCCGGGCACCGTTTATTGGGGTTTACTTTATAAAAGTAAGGGCCCTTACACACTACGTAGAAAACCGCTTTTTTGTTGCGTTCCTGTAAAAGTTGCCATGTCGACTGACGTCATATGGCACGAAATCTAAAAAGTTGCGTAAACGTTTTACTCAGATCTCGGACGGGTGTAGAAGGCTGCTTTTTAGCTTTTATGCCTTCCCGCGCTTTCGGACTTCAACTTCTTGTTGGTGTTTTTGCTGTTTGGTGCTGTGTGGATTTCCGTGTTTCAATTTCAGCTGTCCATTGGACTTTTCGCCTGCTCCTGAAATTCTCGTACCTGAACTCATGTTGTTCAAGCCGTAGTAGACTCGATCTTGTTTGATTGCTGAGCGCGACACGATGCCGAAAATCCAGTGCACAGAAGAAATGGAGGCGAAGCTCATGGAGCTGTGGGCGATATATCAAAAAAACAAGGCATTCCAAACTCGTTCTCAGGGTGAGCTGTCCACAAGTTACGACCAATTCTGTATTTGACGGTACCATTTCGCAACAGCATGCTGAGCATCGTCGTGACCATGAAATTTGAGCAACTGCGATCAGTCATCTAGAAAATATCAAGAACAGGACCGCCATCAGACGACTTTATTAGCTTCTGCAGGTCCTGCAATATCATGGCGGCAACAATTTTACGTCGCCGCTTCTTCCTTGCCGGAGTCAACCTGAGCTCCATGGGCATGGCTCCAACACAAAATGCAGAACGAAATCGAAGAAGCACACACAGCACTCGTTCTGAGAGCAGAACATTTCATCCGAACTGCACTACATCAGTACATATGTACGTAAAAAGCAGATCACCTGTCAGTGTGCAACTGCACTTGATCAGGCTGGCGCATACGCAACGTATGCTCAAGTTAGTTGCGTTTTACATGTACGTAGTGTGTTAGGGCCCTAAGCATGTGAGGATAAGTATGGGAGTGGGAGGGTGGGAACGAGAAACAAATAAACTGACAACCAGTCACCACCATGAACAATTCTTGAGAAGAGATTGTCAGCAAGGGAGCAAGAAAAATGGGTCGCCATTTTTGCGTCATGGTAACCGGACATCAGTATGGTTCCTGACGTCATGGGCACGTTGTGTGCGCTGGGGTAAATGTGAGTGGCAACACTGACAGTTGTGCGGCGCCATGCCTGCGTGAGGACACAGGGCAGAAGAGACAGTTGTGCGGCAAAATAGCGCCCGCAAGGACATGGGGCGGCAGAGGTAGGTGTGC